GGCTATTGACATCAACTTGTTTTCCTTTTTCTGTAATAAGACTAAGAAGGCATTAATATTTTAATTTGTTGGCCTATATATTAGTTACACAGTATTTTTAATTTTCTTTAGCTTTTGTAATGTTTTTAATAAAATTAGTTGTCAACAGTATCTGTTTACTTTGTGGTTTTGTAATAAGGCTTAGGAAACATTCCTATGAATATGTATAGTTAATTGACACATGTGGTGTTCCTATTGGTCAAAATCAACTTAAATGCAAATCAAATTCTGTATTTTTAATGAAACCTTGAAAAACTGTTGCTTCATTTAGTTTTACCTACGTCATCTCTGCCTGGCGTATATTTACTCTCCATCTCTATGAAACATCACTGCAAAATGTCATCTGTGTCCGCCACTAAACAATAACTCCCTGTCAACAATTTGTGTCTCTTAAACAGAGGCAATGTGGAGTATGTACAAACTGATATTAATCTTTAATAAGGCTGTCAAAATGCTAGACAGCATGCAAAATTTCAATAACAAAAAAAATTAAATAGTCAAAAAGTCCAAACGGCTGCATGAGACTTGATTTAATTGAATTCTTTTAAGCATTTCATATCATATTAAATTTTATTGTAAATTTTCCTTCCCAAGATGAACAAGCTTCTTGTGGATTCAAAGTGGTGAGTAGTAAATTGCATAATTTGATGGTGAACTAACCCTTCGATAGGATCACAGAATATCTAAAAAGCCTTTCATCCTTAATTAGCTCAGATGTGTTGCTCATCGAGCATATTGTGGCTTGCAGGAATTCAGGCAGTGAACACAGCAGTGAGCCGCACGCAGCAGGACCAGGATGTCCATTTCAGGATTGGCCGTTAGGATGACCTCACAGAAGAGGTAAACTTTCCCCTCTCTTTTGAAGATGAGCTGGACCTTTAATCACGCTATTTCCATTCCTATAAATCTATGAAAATATATTGAGGCAATAAAAATGTGATGATTATATCATCGCTGTCTAAAAATAACTCTAGCCAGACTAAGATGGTTTGCTGGTTGTAACTAGTTTAAGCTGGACAGTTACTACCTCGCACATGCATTTCAATGCAGTTTTGGGAATGGAGTACTGTTGAATTGAATAGTGTGCAGTATATATTGTTTAAAAAATAGCATCTATGCCGTTTTGCAGTTTGATCTCCAACTTAATCTCTTCATTTTTGTTAGTGAGGCAAAAACATGTCTGATATGACAGGTTTTGCAATCTCTATAACAAATATATTAGCATTTGAGTATGATGTGCACATTGTCACTTTCTTAGTACACAGTGTGCATATTATTTACTGCAGAAATAATATTGTAGTGTGTTTCTTTGCTATTATTTCTTTACATTTAAAAACATTTAAAATAAGCTGAAAAATGCTGAAGCACTTATTTCCAATGAGCCTGTGTTGCATGAAACACAATTCTGCATATTTTATGTTGTTTACACAGAGATGGTAACTGTATCACTGTCCTAAGTTTTAAATCCATATGTTTGCATTTTCAGGCCCCCAAAAACAACATTTGTTATTGTACAGCCAAAACACAAAAAAGCTTCCATCTTTAAAGGTGCAAAAGGAGATCTTGGCATATGCTAATGTTAGCCTGATAGCACTGAGAGCCTATGTCTTACCCAGCAAATCTCCATCCAAAGTCACGCCTCCTAAACACATGAATGCACACTAGACAACATTACTACAATACATGTAACATTCACCGCCAGTGTTAGGTAAGTTAGAGTAATAGATTATAAATTACTGATTACTACTGGAAAACTGTAATCTGATTACATTACTGATTACTTCATGTAAAACGTAATCAGATTACTAATTACTTTACTTTGAAGTTTCTTTTTTAAAAACATATAAAATATACCTATACACATTACAATGGGTTGATCACAGCAGCTTGACAAATTCAAAATACTTAAAAAGTTAAATTTAAAATTTTCTCATCATTCACTTTTTCCAGAAGAAAAACATTTAGAAGAAAACTGGATACCTGTAACCACTGGCATCTATAGTATGCAAAAGCACAGCAGTGTGTGGGTGTTCTGTGTTTGTCTGAGGTAATTAGTCTACTGAAATGTGTATTTTCCAAAGTATGAAGCTAATCGGTCAGTTCTTGTCACATGACTCATGGTGTTCAACTGGGAGCGCCTGAGAAATGCGAGTGTGCACAATATGCTCTCCAAAGATGCGTGTGCGGAAAAGACACAATATGTGAAACGCTTTTCTTTGCATTGAGAAGGTACCTTCTTTTCCGTTCCTGCACAAAATTACAATTTATTTTAACAAATTAGTTGGGCCGCCCTGTTTTTGGGCACCGGTGACCTCCTTGGTGAGAAGTATCGTCTTAGAATGCTTTCTGCTCAAGTGCTTGAACATGTTGCTGGTTGAGTTAAAAGCAGTTAAAAGTTCTTTTGAGACTGGACATAGACGGCATTTTCCAGAAATATTTTAGTTTTCACGCTCAATAAAACCAAAAGTAATGTCTTCCACTTGAAGAAGCAGCCACTCTCGACAGCAACCATTCAAGCAATTTAAAAGCGCATGGTTAGTAACTGATGTTGCAGCAAAAAGAAAAGAAGCATTTTTTTCTTCCAAAAACGATATTTGTAACGTGACACATTTAAAAATTTAAAGTGTAAATTTAAAATGTAATTCGTTACATTACTGTGTTCCCCAAAAATGTAATTAAAATACAGTAACACGTTACTGTGGAACTCGTTACAACTATGATTACCGCAAAGTAAACTTTTTACAGTGAGTAACTACAATTCCAAACTTAAAAAGGAAGCAAGGTTGTTCATGTTTTCCTGCCATCCTCCGTGTCAACTCTGTGTCCATGTCTAAGATGCAATCTTATCTGCGCAAACAGTGGGCGCAAGATAAGGTATGCAATTACATATTTTGACAGGCATGTAGCCTATCGAAACTTTTCTTGGCTCTACACCTAACACAGAATATTAAAATAGATATAAATACATTTGGACCAAGTAATATAATTATTCCTATCAGGATATGATAAGATTTTCAACCAAAATTTGTTGCTTAAGTAAGTCTGCACGATTCTAGCAAAAATGTGGATCACGATTTTTTTTTTTGCTTAAAATCAAGATTTTCTCACGATTCTTTAAATGTAAAATAAAGATTATTATGATTAGCCAATTATTGTTGTACATTCTCAAATATATGGTAAAACAACTATAATAAAATTAGGACTACTGAAGGCGACACAGTGGCGCAGTAGGTAGTGCTGTCGCCTAACAGCAGGAAGGTCGCTGGTTTGAGCCTCGGCTGGGTCAGTTGGCATTTCTGTGTGGAGTTTGCATGTTCTCCCTGCGTTCGCGTGGGTTTCCTCCGGGTGCTCCGGTTTCCCCCACAGTCCAAAGACATGTGGTACAGGTGAATTGGGTAGGCTAAATTGTCCGGAGTGTGTGAGTGTGAATGAGTCAGTGTGAATGTTTCCTATAGATGGGTTGCGGCTGGATGGGCATCCGCTGCGTAAAAACATGCTGGATTAGTTGGCGGTTCATTCCGCTGTGGCAACCCCAGATTAATAAGAGGATTAAGCCGAAAAGAAAATTAATAAATGAATGTAGCTTAAAATGCTAAATTCTGTATAGTCATTGACTTGAACAGACTTTCATTATGTCCTGTTTGTTAATTCACTGTAAAATGATGACATCAGAATACAACTATTCATAATTATAAAGTTGATTTATTATATTTAAGACATGTGCTTGTCATCTGTCATTGACAGCATTATTAGACCATTTGTTTTCACTGGTAAAATGAGACTTTTGTCATTATCAGATTCCTTCTTGCATTATATTCAACATTATAGGCTAATTATAGTAAACATTTATTTTCATGCACAACACTATGTGTTCACTATGAAAGAAAAAAAAATATCAATGCTTGTCGTAATCAAAACTCTAAAATGCCAAATGATCATTTAAATGATGTGCGCACAGGTTTCACTTTCACTTCCACGTGCAGCTCATGGCTGCTGTCACTGTAAGAAAAAACACATACTTGCAAATCAAACCTCCTCCATGGCCCTCAAACGATTGCTCTGTGCAACAAACTAAACGTTATTTACAACTTCACTACTTGTTATTCAAAGCCTATGCAGGTTGTGTTCACTAAAGTAGGCGTCATTTGCATGCACACGCGAGTTCTTGGAAGTAAACAAACAGTGTGTCAGCTCACGTGTGTTTTCCCGGCCGCGAATACATCATTATGTGAAGACAGAAATTACACTTTTTGGGAGAATTATACCTTATAAATACAGTTTGTGACACTTTTAACGCCATTTGAAGGTGTCAGTGTTGCTGTGAAGACTTGCGCGACTGCCTTGCTTCTCTCCTGACCTTGAAAATATAATTGGCTGGTTCTTAGAAAAGCAGAATTAAGATCGTGTATAGGGTCGAATCGAGATCGTGATGTTTTTTCGATTAATCGTGCAGCCCTATCATTAAGACAATCACCTATTGCACTTTAAAGTTAAAATCCTTTTCGTGTAAACTCAGAATAACAAGTTGCCATTTTACTGCCACCATTTCTGCTGTTCATATGACAGGGATATGTCAATAAATAGTATGTGATATTTAAAATGTATCATTTAATAATTTTCCTTCAGCTTAGTCCCTGATTTATTAGGGGTTGCCAGAGCGGAATGAACCGCCAACTATACACGTATAATACATGTTCATATGTATTATACAGCACATGCCTAGCACAACCTAGCACTGTGCTGGAAAACAAAATGTATCACTGAAAATCTATTTCCAAACATAAGTACACTTTAGATACGCAGTACCATTTAGTACTGATCAAGATCCTGATTTAAAACTACATTCCTTTAAGCACACGCTTTAATCCTAAATCCCACTGAAACCCCAAAACAGCTCTCCGATCAGCAATAAACGTCCACTTATGCTTAAAAAACAAGCATACCCTGCCAGATGTACCCACCTGTGTCTCATCTTGCACAGCGCGGTACTGCTCCTTCCACACTGATATTTTAGACGCCTCGTCCTTTCGCAGGGCACGTTCCTTCTTCAGCTCCGGGCTCCAGAAGCTTTTGATGGAGCTCATGGAGGAGCTCAGCTTGCTTTCCTTAACCTCAATCTCCTTCCGAAGGAGCTCGTTTTCCCTTAGCACTTCCTTGAGCTGGGCTTGGAGCTCCATGATGGTGTTGTCTCTCGCCTGGCGTAGGGAGTGAGGAACAGTTGAAGCTGCATGGATCTCGCCTCCAAAGCCCATAGAGTCAGTCGATACTGCCGGCACCATTGCCATGTCAGGTGTACTGCCGGTAACCGTTCCTCGGACTCCATAGGGTATGCTACCTCCAAAGCGACCCGTCGCTACGGCAGTCTTAGGGTGGTCAGATGAAGTCCCAATTGCGACCTCGTTGTCACTCATGTACATGGGACCTGACGTGGCGTAGGCAGCATTAAGAGATTGAATGTTCTCCATGGATAGTGTCTTGCCTCCAGAGCCGCCCGGACCTCCTCCACTTCCACCCATGCTGTTGGTGCGACGGTGGCCCATTCGGGGTGACCGAGGCAGTCGAGGCGATCTTCCCGAGTTGCTCTGGTTGTTTCGACCCGCACTGTGATTACTGTCCATTTTGCTCACAGAACGTGAACTTCCGTACATTTTTGGCAAATTTGGTCAATTTACCAAGGCAAAAATGAATGTGAAGGAATGTGCTAATACAAAGGCCAGGTCATCATCTTCATCTCATGTATAAGGAATGTGATCGGTCAAGCAAAAGATGGTCTTCTGTATCTTTCTGGCTGATGGAGCAAATGTGCTGCCCTGTGAAATGAAATCAAAAAGCAAAACATACTAAATGATATATCAAAGAGAGACAAAATGGCATCAAACATATATTTGAGTACTATTTATTATATTCTTTGCCTTACTAGCTCTGGGTTTCATGCTACCAGATGTTTGGTAGATGTCTAAATGATCTGACTTAAAGTTTGGTGGGGGGTGATCAAAAACACTACAATTGGTAAATGCTCAAAAAGAAATTCTACAAAACAAAAAATGTTTGCAAAATTATGTCACATATTAAACTCATGTTATATTTCTTTGAGTGGTAAAAATCAAAGTCCCTTAAAGGCAAGTCATTTCACTCGGTGGCCATCTTTGAAATGTTTCCCTAACCCAATGCATAGGCATTCTGTCTGAATGGGGAAAGATCAAATTCAATAAAACTGCGAGCAAAATTTACGATTAAATATTATATTAGGAATCACCAATAAAATTAAACAACAATTGAATCTTGAGATTAATTTCTAAATGTTTGAGTCACACAAAATCTACAGAAACTCCTGTCTAGTCCAAGCCCCTCCCCAGAGAATCGTCAGTCTATACTCAGTTAAATAGTTGGGTTAAAAAAAACCCAACATATAACCCAACTATAGGTTACTATATCACCTTCCCAACTATGGGTTATTTTAACCCAGTGCATTGAGTTATATGATTTAACCCAATGCGTTGGGTTGTTTTGATTAAATTTTATTTTTTACATTCTGCTATTCCTATTGCTACTATTACAAGTGCTACTATTATTTTATAATTATGGATGTGTATATAAATAACATGCAATTGCATTGAAAAAGCTTTATTTTCATTACATTTTAAGTTTCAGACACTTAAGGGTTTTTTGTCCATTTATTATAGATCGCCTAATCGCATGTTTGTATCATCAGTAATTAAGAGTGCTGGTGAAACGGATATAAAAAACACGACACGGAGAGGTAATTTAATTAAATTATATATATATATATATATATATATATATATATATATATATATATATATATATATATATATATATATATATATTATTGCATTATAGCTTAAATAAACTTTACAATGCAAAAACAACATTATGTACGCATAATAATACAGCTGTTTTGTGTCAGTTAAATCAGTTGACTGTTAAAATTCTAAATCTTTAACCCAACTGGTTGAGTTATTAAATAAATAACCTAATAAAGGTTAAAAATAAACCAACAAAGCACCAAATATTTTAACTGGGTTAAATAATTTAACGTTTTTTAGAGTGTAGCAATTACTGATTGACACCTTTACTTAAAGGCAGGGCATCATTCGCCATGTTAACCATTACACTCTTCCCCATTCAAAGCACGAGTGACATGTCTTGTGTATTGTATAGTCATTGCTCAAATTTGTTATGATACTGTGCATTATTTAGGATGATTTTATATGGGATGCTAATATACAGCTCTAGAAAATTAATCACCATTTTTTTGGGTGTGCCATTAACAGGTATGTGTAATAATAATGTAATAATAAACTATTGATAACACTCAAAAATAAATGTAATCCATGTTTTTAGAGCTTAATATTGGGAGAAATATGTGTACGCATGTGTGTATTTAAAATATACAAGATATATACATTTATTTTTCCATTATTTCCAATAACGTATGAAAACATGCAATATGTTAATGTTATTTTCTCCAAATAAATGTCTCGAATGTTCTGAATTCTTTTACGAAATTCTGAAGAAACATTATCAGTAGTTTATAAATGAAAAAAAAATTAAAAATTAAAAACAAGGAAACATGTGCTTTTTATTGGCAAATCCAGAAAACCAGCAATCAGAAATGGTCTCTTCATTTTTTTCTGGAGCTGTACTAATAGTAATATAATTATAGTAATGCTTGGCCATACTGAGACATATTTAAAAATGCCCTAAAAATGTCAAATTGTTAATATTAAAAAAAATTAATAATTAAAAAAAAAACATTTTAAGGTCAAAATTATTTGCCCCTTTATGATATTTTTTTCAACAATCGACAGAACAAACCATCAGTATACAATGACTTGCTTAATTACCCTAACCTGCCTAGTTAACCTAACTAACCTAGTTAAGCCTTTAAATGTCACTTTAAGCTGTATAGAAGTGTTTTGAAAAAATATCTAGTCAAATATTATTTACTGTCATCATGGCACTGATAAAATAAATCAGTTATTAGAAATGAGTTATTAAAACTATTATGTTAAGAAAGGTGTTGAAGAAATCTACTTTCTGTTAAACAGAAATTAGGGAAAGAAATAAACAGGTGGCTAATAATTCAGGGATGCAAATAATTCTGACTTCAACTGTAGGCTATATAAATGGATTACAGGCAGCAAATAAAATACGATTTTGACAATGATTCAATATTAATAAAAGCCTATGTGTTGACTCAGTAATGTTAACCACTATAACAACTATAACATCAGCATTGTTAATATATTATTTTACACCACACGAGGCTCATATTGAAAATGTATTCACAAGCCAGATAGTGTAATGCATCTCCCATTTACTCACTGAATGAGTGAATCGAAGGAAAGGTGGGGTTTTATTGTAGCCTCACACTCCAAGGTTATAAACCAATTAATGTCAGCTGCTTTACCGACATTATAATTACGATCTACCAAGCCCAAGCCCATAAATGATATCCTACAACAGTATATAGCCAGTGTCCATCGCTATTGATGCAATAATCCTGTTGTATTTAGGTGAAGGCTGCTCTCAAACAAACCAAGACAAACCAAGCAGAAGCGTCGGCATTTCCCACACAGCACGTCAATAAGAATTGCAAATGCGCAAAATGACAGACTACAATTGTTATATCAGTACAATTTAGCACTAAAACGTAATGTTCCGTAAAATCCAGCCCTGCATTCGCTCAGCCTTCAGCATCCTCCCTCAATGTCCTTCTCCTCCACCATTGCATGGCTTAACATGTTTGCTCCTCTTTTGTTATTAATAGCTGTCCAGCAAATGCGACAGTCAATGAGAAGCGCTATTTGAATGTCAATATATGCAGATTTTAAATAGCCGAGCCGTATTTTAATGTTTAATGTTTAATCCCTACTATAGGTTTTTTACCAAAATCAGTTTACCTTGCGGCTGGGATGTTTCATCCGATATAGCGACCGTCTGTCCAAGATATTGTGTGATGGAGAGGAAGCGGTCTGTTTTTCTTTTCTTTCTATTGCTTAATGATTTTAATATTTGCAGACACAGACCAGCATCTTCCCAGAGCTGGAGGACTTCAGTGACGTAACGCCTACGCTGCGCGCTCACAAACACTCGCCTCTAAAATGCCAACGCCATGCTACGAAGGTCATTTTGTTTCAAATATAGGCTACAAGTATTTTGTTTTCTCTCACAAAAAATGGCGTTCGGTTTCCGATATTCACTTTGTGTGTTGTGCAATTTCAGAACTTAGTCTAAATAATTTTATTTAGTTAGATATCCTGATATTCCCTGTCATTTTAAATGGAAGGAAAGCCTTCATTTCATAAAAAATACATATGTTTTGTATATGTCATGATGGGACCTAAAACTTGAAAATATTATCTTAGTTTGCATCTCTCAATAGTCACCCTGCCCCTAACCATGTATATTTCCAAGCCACACTTCATCAGTCTGATAGAGAAAAGAGATAAACGGCAGCCGGTGGGGTTTGATCCCTCTTAAAGGCACAGTAAACATAAAACTGCTTAATCTGTCATCATTTTTGCACACTCGTTGTAACATTCATTCATTCATTCATTCATTCATTCATTCATTCATTATCTTTTCGGCTTAGTCTCTTTATTAATCTGGGGTCACCACTGTAAAATAAACTGCCAATTTATCCAGCATATATTTTACGACCCATCAACACTGGGACACCATCCATACACACATACACTACAGACACTTTAGCCTACCCAAATTCACCTGTACAACATGTTTTTAGACTTGTAGTGGAAACCAGAGCACCCGGAGCAATGACAAACAAATGACAAATTAAAAACACTCACCTCCTCTTTCTTCACTCTTTCTTGTGGGACATGAACAATCTTCTCCAACCTGCAATAAAACAAGAAAACACAGATAAAATATGAAAATAAATTTAAAACGAAAAAAACTGTAAATAAAACGAAATAAATAAATAAAAGTAAGTAAATAAATAAATACAAAAATAAATAAATAAATAGTTTCCCAGGTGGGTTGGAAGGGCATCCACTGCGTAAAAATGTGCTAAGTTGGCGGGTTATTCCGCTGTGGCAACCCCGGATTAATAAAGGGACCAAGGCGATAAGAAAATTAATGAATGAATGAATGAAAAAAAAAATAAGTGAAAATAAAAAAGTACAACAAAACAAATGTTTAATGAAATAATCAGAAAACAAGAACTGAAATAAAAAACTGAATAAAGAAATTGTGCTCATTAAAATTAGTCTTCTTTCGGAAATCCTCGAACAGCTTCAGAAATCTTAGGATTTGCAGAGAAATGCTATGCAAAAGTCGCCTCGTCTCTCAACCAACAGATTGTGATAGTTTGGGTTGTATTTTTATCATAACAAGCTCAACGAACTTGACCGATCAGAGTGCCATCTTGGGTCACCCCGTGGCCTGCGCCCCCCCTCTTCCCCACCACCTATGACAAATAAATAGAACAAATAGAATGCCGTTACGTCACAGGACAGCATACTGTTCAGAATTTCCTCAGAGTAACAAAATGGCAAATATTATGTCAACTGTGATTTTTACTCGAGTAAGTAGGATCACAACTGACATTGTCAACGAAAATCATCAGAGTAACAGGACAGCTTTTCCTAAACCTCCTACCATGATGAGAAGCCCAACAGGTGAGAGTTTACAAAAACAGTGTATTCCCACATATTATTTAATAATACAGTAAATTCTTAAGTAAAAAGTAAAATTATAATAATATATCCCCATGTACGGTTATTAGTGTACAGACTTAAGAGGCAAATATGCAACGTCTCTTAATTGTAATGTTTTTGTGTGTGTGTGTGTGTGTGTGTGTGTGTGTGTGTGTGTGTGTGTGTGTGTGTGTGTGTGTGTGTGTGTGTTCTTAAAATCTAGCTTTTAAGTTTCTCCTTTCCACTCAACAGAAACAGGGGAAAAGCATTTTTGTATTACTTTAATGTGTAGACCTACAGAGTAATTTTCTTAGTTTTTGATGGTGTGAAGGAATATTTGTTATATTTTAGCAAACTGGGTGAGAATATTATATTTAAGTCTTTATTTGTTCAGGGATGACTTATTAAATGTCTAGAGCTCTGTTTCTGCACCTGAAGTTCTAGAGCAAGACTTCTCTTTTCATTTGGATTTCTTAGACTTGTTAAATGTTCTAATGATTATTAAATGTTTGAAGTTATAATTTACTGACAGATTTCTTAACTGAAGATCCAGACCAAGAGAAATAGTTTGAGTCACTTTGAGTTTGAGTTAAAAAAATTTAAAAATGTTGATTTAGTTTTATTAGTTTTTTTTTTTTTGTGGTGGAGAAGTGGTGCTTGAGAAAGAATGTAGATGTAGATGTAGCACCCACTGGCAAAAAAACAAAAACAAAAGGCTTCTTAAACTTAATTAAACATTGTGATGGTGATTGTTAAATAGCTCAAACAATAACTGGTAAAACTTAGTTTTTACTAGTCATATAACAAAATATTGACTCAAAAATGAGTTATTATAATTGTTTGCATTTTGTATAAGCAGGAGTGAAATGTTTATTTTTGCAAATAGTTGCTTATAGGATTTTACCTGATGTCTAATTTGGACTTATGACTTACCGACTATTTGTCAGCTTGTATTTGTCATTTCAACTCATATAAATGATTTGCAGTTCCACGTAATTTATTTTAGTTTTCAAACATTTGCTATTATAATTGTACATTTTATTATTTTTGTTTCTTTTGTGTCTTTTATATTTCTAATTTACAGGAGTTTGACTATTTTAAACCTGTGATTAAAGAGTTTTCTAATATTTCCCTGTTCATTTCCTTTATTTTAGAAAACCCAGAGAAAAGGAGGAAAGGGAATAAAGACTTTGCTTTCTTTAAGAGAGCACAGAAGGCTGCAAAGCGCCCTTTCCTTAGCTGTGACCGGAACAGAGTGGTTCCCTTTGAACCACGGTCAGATATCGACGATTTCGAGCACCTGCCTGTTCCAGGTGCCTCCAGGACTGTCGTTGTTGCAGCCAGGCCACACTGTAAAAAAAATCTGTAAAATAACAGTTAAATGACTGTATATTTTAACAGATTTTTTCCGTATACACGTATTACGGGTGTTTTTCCGTTTATATACATTTTCGAATTGCATTGTGGGAAGGGGATCGCAGCTCAGACAGCGTTTGATGGACACCGGGACATATTTCTTCCTCTGTTTTTTCCCTGGTAAGTACGATTAATAAAACATATAACAATATTTTAGTTAAAAGACTGCTTTATTACCTTTTTATCGTTATTTAAAATGATTTTTGTCTTTTATGAAGCGCCCATGGAAAGTACAGCAGTGAATTACGTTTAATATTGTTAATAAGATCAGACTTTATTTCATTAAGATCAAACTGAGCTATGAGTGGTTAAATGTAATTTAAACAAGCATTTACCTAATGATTTTTTACCTTTTTATGCGTTTTTCTCATCAGTAAATATGATATCTGTTAATTTACAGTTGTTTGTCCGTATTTTTCTAAACTGCCGTGCGCGGGAAGTGGCGTGACGTCCAATCACCCACTCACTCCCTCTGCACCTGACTGGATTAACGGTAAACGTCAGTTTGTCTGTAAGAGTGTAAAAGGTATGTTAATTATTTTATAGAAATATAAATGTTTTCTTTGTACAGTGCATTGAACAAGGGATAGCATTCAAAGTTTGTGTAGTTTGGTTGATATACGTTCCCTTTAATGAACACTAACGTTAACGTGTTTCAAACGCTCGTACCTGACCGTCTGTGTTTGTTTGCATATTAATGACTAATTTCATATTTTTACTGACGTTATCAAATGTTAGCTTTAGTTTGACCGACGTATTAAGGCTGTGTGACCGAGTTTCAGTGGAACAGCTTTGCTGGTTTTTAAGTAAGTTATAAGTTAGACTCGCGTGAATTGGAGGCATTTGTAACTCGGTATGAGGGGAAATACACACTCGTAAAGTTCTTATTAGTGGTGGGCCGTTATCAGCATTAACGTGCTGCGTTAACGCGAGACTTATCGCGCGATAAAAAAAAATATATCGCCGTTAATCTATTCTCAACGTTGGGTTGGGAGCTGGGTGACTTTCATACTTTGATATTTTAGCGCGGATGTATACCTGACCGGTGAGCCGTCTGACAAACAAGTGCCCTTATGAATCAAATCAGCAGGATGCCTGACTTTAACTGCAGTTCGGCAGTTTCACTTTAACTCATGAACATTTCATTCATCCCGCGTGACAAACTGGGGTAATAGACGCAAATAAGAAGCAAGAACTGATGAGAGTGTTATGGAATTTAACAACGCTCGCCAAATGGAACGAAAAAAAAAACTTCCGCATTTCGCGACGCGTGTTTGTGTGTACAGAGATAACAGAGTGATACAGTACGTGTGTGACATTTAAAAGTATTTATAGTGTTTACACTGTCATGCGTTTTCGGCCTCAAATACAACGTGTACCTTAAAGCAGTGGTTCTCAAACTTTTTTCATCAAGTACCACCTCAGAAAAAAATTGTCTCTCCAAGTACCACCAAAATGAGCAGTATTGAAATACAGTAGCGTAGCAGGCCCAGTAAAGCAGCTACAACTCTGCACAGTTAAAAAAACATGGCTGATTACCTCAGAAATATAGGCTATGTCATATATGGGATATAATATACCCAGTTTTTGATAAATTTTGAAATATATGTAGCATGTACATGACATATTTCATTCCTCCGCGTACCACTAGAAGGAAGCCTGCGTACCACTAGTGGTACACGTACCACAGTTTGAGAACCACTGCCTTAAAGCACACAATTAAATGTTTGTTGTAGTCGAGTTGAACTGTCATTGATATTTATTTATTCACTTTTAAGAACCTCAAGGGCAGCTAATATGAAGATATAAAGAGTTGTTCTTCCACAGTCTTAAAATTCTTCAAACTAATTGTCAGTTCGATTCATTATAGCAAACAATACTTTCTTTACTATTAGGAGATCAGGAGTTTTATTTTAATGAAACCTTGATAATAGAGTGAACTACACATGGTGTTATCGCAAATGAAATCTTTTTATGTAGATTTTAAGTGAGTTTTATTTGCACAAATAAGGTTCACTGATATTTTGCTTGGTTGACTTTCAGGTTCTTTCATTTTGGTTATAAGTACATGTTACAGGTAAATTCTTAGATTCAATCCAAACTGAATTTGAATTAATACGGACAAATGAAATAAAATACACCTGGGATTTTAAATGTTTTCATTTTTTTATTATTCACAACGTTTGTGAAGTCTAAATGTAGACTGTCTCAAACTGAATGAGTGTTATTTTTGTTGTAGGTGTGTTGGTGTAAAAATTGATGCTGACTGGTTAGTACTGCATTTTTAACCATAACAATAATGATTTATATTTAGCATTGCATCTATTGTCATTTTACCAAGAATGTGTTTGCTCTTTCAGAACTCAGGCAGTTGTGCTGGACCCTCTGTACCTTATACAGGAGATGACTGTAAACTTTCAAGTTTAAGAGGTAAAATGTTCAGGGTTTTTCTGTTTGATTTTGAGTGTTTTGTAGATATAAGGTTCACTGATATATGATATAAGATTTGCTTTATGTTTATGTTGTCATTTTAGTTATAAGTACAAGGTACAGGTACATTTTCACAGCAATCTAAATTAAAATCTTAAATCTTACATTCAATCCAAACTGAATTTGAATTAATATGGACAAATGAAATAAAATACACCTGGGATTTTAAATGTTTTCATTTTTTTGTTATTTACAAAGTTTAAAGTTTAAAAGTAGACTACGTGCTGCATGTTTCAAACTGAATGAGTGTTATTTTTGTTGTAGGTGTGTTGGTGTAAAAAGTGATGCTGACTGGTCAGTACTGCATTTTTTAACCAAAAAAATAAACAATGATTTATATTTAGCATTGCATCTATTATAATTTTACCAAGAATGTGTTTGCTCTTTCAGAACTCAGGCAGTTGTGCTGGACCCTCTGTACCTTATACAGGAGATGACGGTAAACTTTGAAGTTTAAGAGGTAAAATGTTCAGCGTTTTTTCTGTTTGGTTTTAAGTGTTTTGTACATATAAGGTTCACTGATATTTTGCTTTGTTGATTTCCAGGTTCTGTAATTTTGGTTATAAGTACAAGGTACAGGTACATTTTCACAGCAATCTAAATAAAAATCTTAAATCTTACATTCAATCCAAACTGAATTTGAATTAATATGGACAAATGAAATAAAATACAGCTGGGGTTTTAAATGTTTTCATTTTTTTTTATTATCCACAAAGTTTGTAAAGTATAAAAGTAGACTGTGCTGCATGTTTCAAACTGAATGAGTGTTATTTTTGTTGTAGGTGTGTTGGTGTAAAAATTGATGCTGACTGGTCAGTACTGCATTTTTATAAATAATACAAAAAATTAAAATAAAAAATGATTTATATTTAGCATTGCATCTATTGTCATTTTACCAAGAATGTCTTTGCTCTTTCAGAACTCAGGCAGTTGTGCTGGACCATCTGTACCTAATACAGGGGATGACAGTAAACTTCCAAGTTTAGGAGGTAAAATGGTCAGGGTTTTTGTTTGATATTGATGCTTTTATTTTTATTATTTGGCAAACCAATTACTTGTACCTATATTTTTACTAAGTGTTTACATGAACACATTTTGCTTCAGTAAGTTTTGAATTTTGTTAACATGTATTCAAACTAAAAAGTACTGGGTTGATGTGGGTGTTTTATCTGGGTTTTTTAAGCTGCTACTGTAATCTGTTAAATGAACCAAGCAGTTATTTATTATTATTATTTAGTTTTGCATCATTTGAAATGTTACAAGTTCTTTATTTTGGTAATGTCTGTTTAAAGTGATAAGGAAATAACTGGTCCACTGCTGAATCTCTTTTCTTTTCTCTCTTAGCCACCTGATGATGAGAGAGACAATTTCAATGTGGGCATCTTGATGGTGAGCCAGGCCTTCATGCTGATTTTGTGACCGTTTAATCTATTTAGCGTCATTGGAATAACTTTATTTCAGGATGCAAAACTGGCTAAAAATCTACTTTAAATTTCAACATTAATTGTATGATAGTGTGGTTGATTTAACATTTTATTTAATGTTGGGTTCATTGTAAAAAAATAAGATTTAATTTTGGTTGAATAAATGCTGATTTTGGGACAGTTTTGTCTATTTATTATCATAGAATTACCATTATTTCAGGGTGGAAAACTGCCTAAAAATCAGTGGTGACTTTTTAACGTTGTTTCAATGATAGTTTGATTGATGTTTTAACATTTATTCAATGTTAATTTAACGTAGGTTTGCTCTCTGGGTAAGAACTAACTTAAAAAATGCGAAAAACTTATGTATGTGCCACTTGAATTTTGTATCACATGTTATTGGCATGTTATGGAATTTAACTATGGCAAATAAGTGAGAGGAGATGGAAAGCTATGATGTCTACACGTTTTCCTGAAACATTTTCAAGGTCAATTCTTTCTTGTATAAAGATAGTGGAAAAGAAAGAAATGTAAAACAAAATGGTTTATAATTTTTTTACATTTTTTTTTCTTTCCTTTATTGTTTTTTTTTTGCCTTAATTTTGTTCTTGCACTATAATTATTTCTTGTAATATTTGATTAAGTAAATATATATTTTTTAATTTCTTTTAAATTATGTAGCAGACATGTATTTGAATAATTTTACATAATAATTATAATATTTATAATATTATTAATAATATTAATAATTTAACATATAGGTGTGCATATATGTACCCATATATGTACATGTAATATAGGAAAACAGCCAATTTTATATTTGTCACATATTTCAAAAACCTAAATCAAAACCTATATTAAACCATATGTTTATATAGGTTCTTTCCATGTGGACGTGTACCAGACCCAACACACAACTCACTTTTCTTTTCTTTTTTTCAGAAGAAGAGTCCACAGTCACAATAACAAGATCATTGGGCTGTCCCCTAATTGTGGTGAGCTACATGTTTAGTCTCTTATGTGCTAAACATTATGTAGCCTAAGGAAGCAGCCCTGACTCTGGAGTTTATATGAAGGTATGTTTTTACATTTTTAAGTTTATTTCATTTTTATAAGACAAGTAAGTTGATACATGTTTGTTGTATTTACAACAGGAGCATGCTGAGTAACTATCCAGAATGTAGGGTCATAGCAGAAAAAAGTGCACCAAGCAGAAACATACCATCTAAACTCCTTCGATTCCTGTCAGACCAGAAAGACTTTCAGAATCCTTGGAAGATTTAAAGGTAATTAAGCAAACCGGTAATACTTTATAATAACTAAACACTATTGATTAATTTATTAAGCATTAGCAAAAAGTTCTGTAAAGCTTTAACTCTACATTAACAGACCTTAGTATACAGTTTATAACTACAGCTGCAAATGCGGTAATCTTGACTTATAAGCACATCTATAATGTGCTTAATGATTTTGTTTTTATATTTTGTTAATGATTAATTTTTCATTACTAAATTTAGTATAGCATTATTTACAAACCAGTAATTTAAGAATAGTTGGTGTATTTTTTTTTCTAATCATTCAGAATGTGTAAGTAAATGGTTAATAAACTATTTAAACTAACATTTATATATCTTATTATTCAGGCATATAGTAATAGTTGGGCAGCTCAGTGGCTAGCACTGTTGCCTCACAGCAAGAAGACCTCCGGGTGCTCCGGTTTCCCCCACAGTCCAAAGACATAAGCTATAGGGAAATTGATTAACTTAATTGGCTGTTATGTATGAGTGTGTTTGTAAATGTGTGTATGGGTGTTTCCAAGGGCGTACTCATGCTATGCACAGTTGCCTTGAAACTGGAATCGTGCTTGTCTCCCCCGACGACCCGCACTCACATTGCATTCGAGCCTGAGCATGCTTACATCATCAATAACGCACTGTTCAGTTTAACAAGTGCTCTTACTCAGCACAGTGGAGATTTCTTTATATTGTTATATCGTTTTAGTTGTTCAATATGCAGTGACACGCAGTCAAATATTTCACCGAACAGATCAGCCACTTTTGACGCTTATAAACAATCAAAGTCAACGTGCTGCAGGTACTAGGAGGTTTGCTAAAGGTGCAGCTGTTGTGCAGTGAGGGGTTTGTGTCTTTAATCTATGACAGTTTGCAAGGGACTTTGATTTGGATAAATTAACCACTATTACTGTTCAATGAACGCAAACCCCTTACTGCACCACAGCTGCGCCTTTAGCAAACCTCCTATTCCTGCAGCACAAGGAGTTTATGATTGTTTATTAACATCAAAAGTGGCTGATCTGTTCGGCGAAATTCTTGACAGTGTGTTACTGCATCCCAAACGACTAAAACAATATAACTAAAGAATTCTCCTCTGTGCTGAGAGCACTTCCTAAACTAAACAGCGCATCATCGATGATGTAAGAGTGCTCAGGCTCGAATGCAATGTGAGTGCGGGACGTCAGGGGAGACGGGAGGGAGGACAAGAGTGCTTCGGCCTGGTTCAAGGCAACTATACATAGTGTGAGCACACACTAAGCTGAAGGAAAATACATGAATGAATAGTAATTGTTATACTTGTATATAAAGTATAAAAAATAAGTATATAAAGTATATACAATACTTATTTTAATAAGTGCTTTTGTTAACTTCATCCAGTTTTGTAGCCTAAAGTGAGGATTGTTTATGCTCTGTAAATCCCCTTATAAATCACAATTAAAGATTCAGTTATATTCTAAAAATGAAATCATTTTATTGTATTAAATGAAAAATAAATCTTATCTAAAATAAAATTGCTGTACAGTTTAAACATAGCTAAATAACACTGAAATGTTGCATCGTAATATATCATTAAATTATTTTATTGTTGTTTTATCCAGTTTTATGTTATATTTTGGCACTCCTGCTATTCAGCAAAGTTTAACTGTCGTTTATAAGGATTTATAAATCATAAATAATCCTCACTTTAGATTAGGCCACAACTGGAAGAAATTTTGTAAATAATGCAATATTAAATATATATATATATATATATATATATATATATATTTTTTTTTTATTTTTTTTTTTTTTTTTTTAATCTATAAATAGTAATGTAAAATCAATCATTTAAGTTTGATAACACAATTATTAAACTGTAGCTGTAGCAAATTTTGCAGCTGTATTTATAACCAACTGCTAACATCTATTAATGTAGAGTTAATGCTTAACAGATAATGAATTCACTATTTGCTAATGCTTCATAAATGAATCATAGCCCGTAGTTATTATAGTGTTACCAGCATAGTTTGTTTATATTACTGTTTCTCTCTTGCATTATTGTTCCAAATATTGTCAAAAGTACCTACACTTTATTTTGAAAAATCTTAAAGTGATTTCTCACCCAAAACTGAATAATTGATCATTCATAATTTACCTACTCTCTTGACATTTTAAACCTGTATGACTTTGTTTCCTCTGCAAAACACAAAATATCATATTTTAAAGAATGTTGCTCCTATTTCTCCTATTTTGTTCTGTTGAAGTATGTCAGTCAGACAGGCTTGAAATGACAAGAGTGAGACATGAAGATGATGATAAAACTTTCATTTGTGTAAACTATTGACATGCAAGGAATTACCCCAGTTGTAAGTGAAATGTCATTAGTAATGTTTTTTTTTTTTTTTTTTTTTTTTACAGCCATTGAAGTATCAGTATTGGAGCGGAAGAAGACCCAGTTGTATCGTCTGTTTCCTGCCATCTTGCAGTTAACCTGGTTTCTTAATGTAAAGTACTTGTAATTTGCCCACTTGTCCTCAATTATCTTAAAGCTAACATTTAAAACTAATTTGCTTTGAGATTATTTGCCAAGACTTCTCACTGTGTGATTCACATGTCAATATGTATTTATTGTGTGTATAACTAGCTATTTGGAATTCAAATGATTTGTATTCATTAAAGAATCTGTTTTAATTGCAAAGTTGTTTTTGTACTAATCATTGTAAGTTCACAGTTAACAAACTATTTACTGCTTCTCTACACATACAGTATGGAATACATGTTTTGTTTTACTATGGTAAACCATTAGTAGTGTATTTCCCATATGTATAGGTTTATCCTTACCAACTGCTATTTCTATGCTGCTTGAAGAGCATTAAATTAGTAAAATAATATTTTTTTTACAGTAGGTATCCCATTAAAACAAAGAATCTGTTCATTTTTTCACTGTATATATACTATTAAAAAACAAAAAAGTCCTCTTTTTACAGTAGGTATACAATTAAAACACAGAATCTGTCTGTTTTTTTACAGTAGGTATACTATTAAAACACAGAATCTGTCTGTTTTTTTACAGTAGGTATACTATTAAAACACAGAATCTGTCTGTTTTTTTACAGTAGGTATACTATTAAAACACAAAATAGTTCCACTTTTTTACTGTTGGTATACCCTTAAAAACACAGAAAATAACCGTTTTTTTATATAGAAAACCCTTAAATTACTATAAAATGGTTCGTTATTTTACAGTAGTTTAACAGTCAAAAAACGGATATTTTTTAGTTTTTTTAATGTGGACACACTGTCAATTAACAGAAGTTTTCCGTTTTTAATTTACGGTAAAATATTTGTGTAATGAGCTGCCAGTACATTTTACCGTTTTTTTACGGAATTTTTTTTTAGAGTGCAGGTCTGTGAAGATCCTCAGCCGTTGAGTGTTCTGGGCCCCTTCAGCATCAAGCAGATGTGCCAAATGCAGATCCAGCCCATCCTGAGTCCTCAACGGCCTTCACAGGTCATGTTGAACCTGAGCAGATGCGTTCGCCAGTCCAAGTCTGCGACCGTCTCGAGTCGTTGTCTGTTCAGGATCATCCAGGATCAAGACAACGACCATCGCAGATCATGCTGACCCTGATCAGATGCGTCCGCCAGTCCAGATCTGTGAAGACTCTCAGCCTTTGAGTGTTTCGGGGCCCCTCCAGGATCAAACAAACAGCAGATGTGCAGAATGCAGATCCGGCCCGTCCTAAGTCCTCAACGGCCCTCACAGGTCATGTTGATACTGAGCTGGTGTGTCTACCAGACCAGATCTGGGAAGATTTTCAGCCAATCAGCGTCCATGGCCACTCTAATATTAAGAAAATTAATGATGCAGATTCGGCCTGTCCTGAGTCGCCTCCGTCTGTTCAAGACCCCTCTAAAATTGATGGGACTGATGGTAAGTCATCCTGAATTTGGTTCATTTTATTTCTGCATCTGTTATTTTTACTCTTTGTTGTTTTTAGCCTATAAATCAGGCAGTGTCATTGGTTGTGTATTAATTAATACAGTGCTAAACATATATGAGTACAACCCCATAAATCTCTCATTTAAATTAATATTTTCTATAGGATGCTTTACAATATTATATTTGTGCATGTACATTAGTTTAGCCAGTGCTGAAGCCAAATCTGGAGCTAATCTAACAAAAAAACTTTCAACAAAGGTTCTAAAATTAGTAGCCCAAATTTATTTTTGGGGAAAATATTAAGTTTAATTTTCAAAATTAGCAAAAATAAAAGAGTAACAAAAAATATAGACAATTTTGTTGAAATGTTCTATTTTTTTTTTTTTTGCTATATTTTGCATGAATTTAATTGTGTTATCTTTTCATTTCTAAAGATGTTCTGTGACTAAAATATTATTTTAATTAATAAATCTGTTTGATAAATCTGTTTTGTTTAAATGCACCAATATATATGTATATATACCCATATTCACTGAGAAATGTATAAAAATATTTATTTTCAAAATGGGGTGTACAGGAAATATAAATATGCTGAGCACTGTAGCTGCAGCTCTGTTCATGGAGATGTTTCTGTTTGTTTTCTTCATTTTAGAAAAACCCAAGAAGGGAAGGAAAGGCAAAAGAGTCTGCTTTCTTTAAGAGAGTATGGAAGTCTGCAACGCGCCCTTTCCTGTGCTGTGACACAGATATAGTCCAGCATGTTACACCACAGCCCGAGCCAGAATCAGAGCCCGAGCCTGAGCCCGAGCCAGAGCCAGAGCTGGAAGATAAAGCGGACTCTGAGGCAGTGCCTGTTGAAGTTCCGCCTGAAATCGCTGAACCAGCTGACCCTGAGTCAGTATGTCTGCCAGGCCAGGTTCTTGAGGAGCCTAAAAAGGCTTCTGGGCTCACTCGTGGTAAGTCATCATTTCCTTCAATTTTCTGTAATTCATAATTAATATAAATTAGTAATCAATTTACTCCTGCAATTCTGATGGAAGTTACTGCTTTTAGCTCATTGCATTAGATCCAGATTCAAAGGAAAGGAGTCATTTATTTGATCTGTTTCATACCAGACAATCCAAGTAAATCTCCTTGCTCTTTTTCTGTTTTTCAGGTTGCATGGTGTCTCTTTTTGAAGTGAAAAACCTGATTGGAGAAGGAAGCTTTGGCAAGGTGTATCTGGCATCTCACGTATTTAATGAGAGAGTAAAGGTAGAGATTTTTTTTTTTAATTCAGTCAACATTTTTCTCCTGATTATTAAATATAAATACTTTGTTGGCTTCAATTTAATTTGTCATTGTTTTTCCGCAGGCTGCTCGAAGTCTATTAAGAAGTGTAAACAGGACTGTTATTTCGACGTTGTAAGTTAAAACAATTTACACAACAATGAAAATGTGCTGACCATTTACTCTTCCTTTACTTGTCCTGTACCTGTCGGGACCACTTTAAACTGAACTCAAAAGCAGATTTGTTGGAAACAAGTAGCCACCTACTTCCATTGTAGAAAAAGAAAATACTTTTGAAGTCAATGCTTACTGGTTTTCAACATTCATCAAAATATTTTCTTTTGTGTTCAGCAGAAGAAATAAACCCAGAGACAACTTTTTTACATATGAATGTGAGGCTGTAGAGTTAATAAAAATTCATTCAACATTAATGGAGATAAGAATGATCACTGCATCAAGCCCCTTGTAAAGCAGCCTGCGTTCATTTCTACACAAAGCTCAGTTTCACAAGGAAATCAGTGAAATCGTGTAACGTGACTTTTGTAGCATTATTTGAGTGTAGATGATTCATTCATGTCTTTAATAGTGCTAAAGAGAGATTGTTCTGTTGTATGCTTGTGCTCAGCCTAAGAGGCGGACAGAACACACACATGTAAAGTCCTCTTTTAGCTTAAACTGCATGACTAAATGCTTAAATACAAGCTAACACGTGTCAAAACATGGAGCTTAGTAATTATTTACTTAGTGACAAGTTTTTGTAACTGTACTTTGTCCCATTTTGCTTTGGTAATATCTTTGAAATCAGTTTTTTTTTAGGATGGACATTCCAAACCTGTGCTTGCGGAAGTGGCAATGATGCTTAGGTTGATAAATGACCCGACTTGTCCTAGCATCATCAGATTACACCACTGGATTGAGAATAAGAAGAACTTTGTTCTCATTCTGGAGTACGCAGAGTCATCCCAGAACTTGGCTCGTTACGTCAGACATACATTGGACATTGATGAAAACCAAGCACGCCGGTTAATTCGTCAGTTGATCCAAGCTGTCAAGTTCTGCACTGAGCGTGGAGTTTTCCATGGCAATGTACACACGGGGAACATCCTGGTAACTCAACCCCAATTAGAGCTCAAATTGATTGACTTTGGTTGTGCTCGACCAATTACCAGCGGTCACAGTATTGTCTTATGAAATGACTGAATTCTGAAAATGTCTCTTTTACAGGAGCCATATTTTACACACCACCTGAGGTTTTGAGGGATCCCACATTCTTTCCTAACCCAACATTCGTCTGGACAAAAGGCCTCATCCAGTATGAAACATTGCATGGACGATTGGCCTTTTACAACACACATTCGATAATCATTGGAGACCTTAAGACAGACCTCAGCTTATCTTCAGGTAAGCAGACACCTCTAAACAATCTCAGCCTCAGTGAAAGAATAAAATATGTCAGTCATGAGTAAAAAAGGATTAAATATAATGGTTACAAGTGTAACGGAGGCCAGCTAGTAAGTGCTGTGCAGGTAAACCTCACTCTTCTGACCTCTAAAGGTGCTCTAGCGATAAGACGCTAGAGGCCATGGTCTTTAGCCTCCTTGTTAGAGCAACTGACTCACGTGCGGAAGGTCGCCGGTTGGATCCCAGCTCGGAGCGGGTTGGGTGGAGTAGGACCGGCGGGGTTACACAGGCACTGTAGATATTAAAGTTAATTAATTGTGGATGTTTTGTAACATTTGATGTTGTAAGATTTAAAGACGTTCATGAATCTTTAGTATGCAGACATATTTCACACTCTCTGTGACACTTTTCAGCATGCCTGGACCTGATTTCACAGTGTTTGGTCCGCAATCCAGAGAAGCGGCTACAGTTCTGGTTGAAGAGCACCGGTGGTTCAATCCAATGAGCCCAAATCCTGTGCAGCAGTGAGACAAGAGGAGGTAGAGGAACACACCGAGAACAAATCTACATCTTCATTCTTTCTTTGCTTTGCTTTCTTTGCTTCAAGTCTTATTTGATAGCCCTTCGTATTTCTTATTGTTTTTCTCACAGTAATACCGGAAAATTTCCGAAACGACTTTACCGGTAAATTCAAAAAAGCGCTGTTCACACAGACAAGGACGCTACGGAATTTTTCCGGAAAAGACCGTTCACACATCCATTCCAAAATAGCGGTAAATTCTGACATCATTACACAGAAATGCCCTCTAAACGTCTGTGTTTGTATTTGTAAACATTTGACTACATTACAAACTCTTGGATACAAACAACTTGGATGAAAACATATGGGTAAACACTTTCACATGTCGAGATGCACATGATATGTGTGTGTGCTGGCGCTTACAACTCCTTCACGGGCACACGTGACGCGTCAAGCTACTGAAGGAAGCAGAGCTTGAAGGTAAACAAACAACGGCTTATCGTAAGCATCTTATCGATAATTATTTACACAGCTGACATTAAGACGGAACATAGAAAAATCATCTGACTAACATCTAGCAGCTAAATGTGTCTGGAAATGTGGCTTTTATTCTCATAAACTGCATGGACGTGAATGTGTGGTCTGACTGTTCTGATTGGCTAAAGTAGACGTCTTATGTCAGCATGTTCTAGACATGCACACGCTCTTTCCGGCAATGTTTCTTCTAAGTTCACACAGAGCAGCATTCCGGCAAAAAAAAAAAAAAAGTTACAACTTTTCTTTCCGGAAAAAAGCCCGAACGAATTTACCGGTATTTTCAAAAAGGGCCTGTTTACACATACACACCAGACAGAAAGATTTGTATGTGTGAAATGGGTTTATATACAGTGCAGTGCAGTACTTCTGAAGTCATTATTTTTGTTATATTACTTTTGTGTTTTTCTTCATGTAAAAAAGACTTTGAAGTTTCACTTCAAAATGACAGCTGTAGCTCCAAACCCCTGACACCTTTCTTCATCTTAAGAAAGCAAATGAAAATATTTGAGATATAATCAAATCATCTAATCATGAGAGCTCTGTCCTGCACTGTATGCGTGTCGCACTGCAGACGTTTACCTTAGATGTGCCCACGCTTTAAGTCACAGGAAGTCGTGTAGGTCTCTGGGTTGAATGTCAGCAGTGTGACACGCATACAGTAAATGTGCTGTAAGCTGAACGTGCAGTTTGAGGGTCAGAGAGCTCTCAGATTTCATTTAAAATGTTTTAACTTGTGTTCTCAATATTAACTAAACATGAAAATGAACTAAGGACATGAGGTGAGCAATTAATGGCAAAAATGGTAATTAAATACTGCAGCTCTGCACAAGAAGTTTGGCCATAGGAAAAATGGTCATGCCCAACTGAGCCTGGTTTCTCTCAAGATTTTTTTCCTTTCCCTTTTGTCAATTGGTGAAGTTTTGTTCCTCGCTGGCTTGCTTGGTTGGGACTTGTGGAGCTGCGCTTCGATGGACTTGCTCTTCAGTGTTTGGACTTTCAGCAGTGAAAATTAAACCACACTGAACTGAACTTAACTAAACTTTAACTCTGTAAACTTGACTGACACAGTTTCAGTTTACTTCTATGTTAAGCTGCTTTGACACAATCCACATTGTAAAAGCGCTCTATAAATGAAGATGAATTAAACTGAATTAATGACAAAACTCCATTAGGAAGTCCAGTGCTGTCACAGTTATCTCCTCTAAAGTTTCGTCAAAGATCTGCTCAACTATGTTTCTACTTTATAAATGAATCTGGCGTTCTGTTTTAAGAGAGACTGATTGTTTTATAATTAAGTGTTCATAATTGTTTTGTAATGTGTTGTTCTTTAAATTGTTTTGTAAGGAATTGCTTTTATTTTATATCTTATATATTGTTCAAAAATTTAAATAAAATATTGTGAATCAAACTGAAGTTCTGATCATCATTTCTCATCAGTTTTCTAAATGACTCTTTACTCAAGGAGATATAGTTCTTCCTGAACTATTTACTCAAGTAGTTCCAAACCTATCAGTTTCTTTGTTTTGTTGAACACTAAAGAAGATACTTTGAAGAAATCTGAAAATATGTAACCGTTGATGTCGATAGTAGGAAAACAAATACAATGGAAGTAAATAGTTACAGGTTTCCAGCATTTTTCAAAATATCTTCTTTTGTGTATAACAGACAAAACTCGTGGTAACGGATGAGTAAAAGAATATTCTTTATTGGGTGAAACAATCTCTTTAACAAACCAGTAGTGTCATACACTATGTGTACTATGATTGAAAACAAAATTGTGGAGTCTGTTTAACCAAATGGAACCACAGAGAAGGTTTTACTGTTAGACAATATGTTGTTTTATTTTCCAATATCATATACTAATACAAAAAATAGTGTACTGGGCTAATCTTTTATTTAAACAGCAGAGTTTCAGACTGGACATTGTTAAACTGTAGACTCAAATGACTAACAGTACATTGGAGCAAAATAAAATGTCTGAAATTAAAAGTATAAATGTGTGCGATTGGACTCCAGTGTGCATTGCAGCCTTTCTTTATCACGGTTAAAATGGTGAGTGAACATCACACAAGTGAACATTGTCAGATCTGTTGTTCATATAAAATTGAAGTCAGAATTATTAGCCTTACTGAGTTATTCGCCCCATTTATTTTTTTCTCAATTTCTGTGTAATGGAGAGAAGATTGTTTCAACACATTTGTAAACCTAATATTTTAATAACTCATTTCTAATCACTGATTCATTTTATCTTTGCCATGATGACAGTAAATAATATTTTACTAGATATTTTTCAAGACACTTCTATACAGCTTAAAGAGACATTTAAAGGCTTAACTAGGTTAATTAGGTTAACTAGGCAGGTTAGGGTAATAAGGCAAGTTATTGTATAATGATGGTTTGTTCTGTAGACTATCAAAAAAAATAGCTTAAAGGAACTGAAGTGGCTATTTTCTCTAAGGAGGCTCTCTCAGTGGTCAAGAAACAAAGTCTTACCCGGGATGTCTTTTCAAAGTTTTATTCTTTATAAAAAAGATCACAATCATACAGCAACAACAGTTTCTGCAGAGTGAGATACTAAAGCAAAGTGTGTTCACCTTTTTATCTAGTTTGTACTGCTTACGAGGTCAACTCCCAATAAGGCCTCATCTACAATTACGTCAGGCGTCTTCTGCTGTTCGTGCGATATGCTCATAACAACCACACATCCTTCTTAAGCAACCATACCTCAAAGGTGATGTATAGACCATAAATTCCAGTGATGCGTACCCAGAGAAAAGAAATGTGTTCACCCCTACATAGTCAGATAAGGGAAATCCTTATGATAATTAAAAAGCATTCACCTAAAGAAATATAGTTATGTATAAAAATGTACACATAGGTTTTATGATGAACATATGGAGAACACAGATACACACACATATAAAAATGAGTCTTAGACAAGTTTCTAACATGTAAAGTTCATCTAAAAATGAATTTCCATTACAGGCAAATAATTCTGACCTTAAATGTTTAAAAAAATAATAATAACTGCTTTTATTCTAGCCGAAATAAAACAAATAAGACGTTCTCCAGAAGAAAAAATATTATCAGACATACTCTGAAAATTTATTTGCTCTGTTAAACATCATTTGGGAAATATTTAAAAAAGAGAAAAAAAAAATCAAAGGGTGGCTAATAATTCTGACTTCAACTGTACTTTTGCATGTAATGGTTATGAAGTAGGAGTTGCATCAATTGTTATTATATACCCCACTAATATCTAGGGGTCATTTACACAGTGCAGTTTTAAACAGAAAACCTTTCATGGCTTTCACCATTTCTGTATAAAGTACAAAATACGATTTTGTTTATTTTATTTTTGAACATGGTGATGTTTGCATATAACATGTTAACAATCCATATAGGCAAGTAAAAATATTTCACTTCATCCAAATTGCATACTGCAATATATACTCCACTATACTATGTGAAAAACAGTATAAAATACGGTCTGTAAAAAGTATGGACTATTTATAAGACAGAAGGTTTTAAACAAAGTATTTAACAGAAAGTAGTAGATTGTATAATACATTTTACCGCATACCTTAAGAAATGCATATAAAATTGAATACAGTAGAATTATGGTTATTGTAAACAAAAAAAACTTTATTATTGACACCATAACTACCTGGCTAAAGTCTTGTCGTCTGTTCAAGTTTTAGAAACAACAAATAATAACGACTTCTAGTTGATCAGTTGATATCAGCAGTGGCTGAAAGGCAAAGGCCTCTAGGTTGCTCTTTTTGATTTACCAAAATAAAATATGATCATGGCTTGATTTCTAAGGATTTAATTAGGACAGTAAGGTCTGACTTTGCTTAGACAAAAGTCTTGGCACTTAACCGAAATCATGTACAGTATAGAATATAAAGTCATGGTGCAGTGGAAAAAGAATTAACATTGTGTATAACTCCAATGAGCTTGGACTTTTAACTTGTTAATAAAGTTAACTGAATTGGCAAAGAAAGCCTCCTCCATCTTTGCCCAGACATGCTCAATAATGTTAATGTCTGGTGACTGGGCTGGCCAATCCTGGAGCACCCTGACTTTCTTTGCTTTCAGAAACTTTGATGTGGAGGCTTAAGTATGAAGAGCACTATCCTGCTGAAGAATTTGCCCAATGTAAAGAACAGCACAAGGATCTTGAGATCTTGATACCTCAGGCTGTTGTTGATGTTGCCATCCACTCTGCATATCTTGAATGCCCCCATTCTGAATGCACCTCCAAACCATGATTTTTCCTTCACCAAACATGACTGATTTCTACGAGAATCTTGGGTCCATGCGGGTTCCAATAGGTCTTCTGCGGTATTTGTGTGATTAGGATGCGGTTCAACAGATGATTCATTTGAAAGATCTGTCATTTTTTCCAAATAATCAACAAGAAGTCAAGTTATTATTTGTTGCTCTTACATCTGAGATCGACGACAAGACTTTTTGTCAGGCAGTGTAGTATTGTTAAAGGAATAGTTCATTCATTCATTCATTCATTCATTCATTCATTCATTTTTTTCGGCTAAGTCCATTTATTAATCGGGTCGCAACAGCAGTTTCATAGGAAACTCAAAAGCTTTAAATATTAATTACAGCCAACAAAAAAAACATTTATTATCTTCACATCAAGCCATATTTTATGCTAGACTGAATAGAATAGTCACGCAAGTTTAGTAAATGTTATCGAGTCATTTTGAGGGAACTGTTCCTTTAAAGACACCATCTTACACACGTTCACACTCTTCATGGTGCAGCAGGCGGCGCTGTTTTCTAACTCTACGACATTTATTTGGACAAAGACAAGAAGTCGGGGGGAGTGGACAGAGTCCGGGTTATTGTCGATCACGAAACCGGTTTGTTCATGTAAGCATACATTTATGCAATGGCGAAAATTTAGAGAATCGATGGCATGCAGATTCCGCGGTCTTGAGCCCTGCGCGTGCATATCGTCTAGATCAGCGCGGGATCTTTCGCTGTCAACAATAGAGGCGCAAAGCTCTCCTGAACGCGCAGCAGCCAAAGCCAAGTTTCATGTCGGCATAACATTAAATGGATATAACGTGTCTTATAGGGTTTTTGGTAATTCCTGTAGATGTACATATTGCAGCGTCAACTTGAGGTGCAACGTTTGCACGCGCGCCGTCATGCAGTAGATGAGTGCACAAGGAAGATGAATCGAGGTCAGTTGAAAGAGAATAACAAAGAGAACCTGCTCTGCAGTCTCGCGAGCGCGAGCAACCATTAGCGGAAGCGGCTGCTGTTGTGTGTTTGACACTCGAACTTCGCAGTATCGCTCGAGACTGTTGGGACCGGAGGCACAGAAACCGACGTTTAGCCGTTATGTTGGGTTTTTAGTGGATGAATATCTCGTCAATCGAGGGTATTTGAGTGGCTCACATGCTTCGCGCGAGGTAAACGTTATTTCAAATACGGAGCACGCGCGTTTGGGGAATTACCGGTTAAACCTGGAGTCAGCCGTTGGTTATTCGCCGATAACTGAAAGGAGTGACGACGACACTTTACATTATGGTAAGTTTTTGTCTTAAATGTCACGATAAAATGGTAAAACTAATCCAGTTTGTGTGTTCACATAAGTCAACCTATGTTTTAGATTATTTATTTGTAACGGCAGTTTTGATACATTTAAAAAAAAGCTCTTAAAGGGACAGCTCATCTTAAAAATTGAATATAAGTTTGGTTTTAATGTTCATTTGTTCAGCATTATGCTGTCTAACTTTAATTCCTTTCCCTATAACGTTATAAGTTTCAAATAATTAGCTTTTCCGGTGTTTTCCACAATTGTCTTTCAAGTTTAAAATGACAAAGTTAACTTACCATAAAGGTAACGTAAGTTTAGTCAACATGATTTTAGCGTAATTATTTTTTAGTCTTTCGATAACTTTAGGCAACTGACACTCTAAATAAAAGTTTGACATCCTAAAATCCCAACTAACATTATGGTTTAGGCATTACTTGATGAAAAAAGTGTCTAGTGCATTATTCAGTATTTTACCCAATTTTACAAGCATATAACAGTTACTTTAAAAAATGTTTACTTATTTTAGTTTATTTTATTCAACTTGTTTTTAATATAAAACGGTAGACAGTTTGTTGTACACATGGCGAATCTAATTTACTAATCCCTCAGCATATGTTCACTGTCCTGAAGATAGATACAGTGCACTCATTAAATTACGTCAAAGATATAAGCAAGCAAGCAACACATTGCTAGTTATGTTCATGTCAAATGAGTTTTGTCAAACGTTAATGAACCATCTTGATGCGAAATGTGTTGACGAAAATTTACCCGAAGTGTAAAGTGATGAAAAAAAAAATCAAAGTGTTACTTCCTGCTGTTTTTTTTCTGAAGGTTTCAGTATGACAGGTCTATTTGTAAAGTAAAAAATAAATAAATCCTATCTTTTTAGTAGGTGAGAGAAAACTCTTTAATTATAGACTAGTTATTTATTTGCCCCTTTGCTAAACAGCCATTCCCTTATTATGGCCCTGAAATCAGTCTTGTTTTAACTTTCCTGGCTTCTCGATTTGTTAAATCTGTTTTATTTATTACATTAAGTTAGTGCTGTTGAATGATTAATCATGAATAATCACATCCAAAGTTTGTATTTTGTGTATATGTATTATGATATATAAACACACACACACACACGTATACATTTAAAAATAAAGATTTACATGTCATATATGCATGTATGATTTGAATTACTGTACATTTATTTGTATTAATAATCAAATTTTATTGTATAATAGTAATGTTTTACTGTCAAGTTGATTCAAAGGTTTATTTTGGGTTGTTGTGAAGACCATTAAATTTCTGTATGTACATAATATGGTGATCGTTTTTCTCACTTTCTAATCTTCTAGCCATTTTTGTAAAACTATATTTTGTATCTTTTTCAGGGAATTGGACGCAAGGGTTAAACTTTTTTCCCCAGCACGACCTTGGGGTCGAAAGTGACCACTACTTTTATCAGCTTTTATTACTTTTACTACCCTGCCCCCTCAGGAGACCCCCTATGTTGATTGAATACACCCCACATTTTTTCAAAGGATGGATGAGCTGAAGTCTCCTTTTAATCACCACAATCATCATCATCATCATCAAAGTATTTTGAACTGTGCATGGATCCTGCGCTACTTTTATCACCAGGGACTTCCTGTGCTTCTCTCCAACACTTTATTTTGCAAAAGTATTGACTTTATCTGAACTGCTGTTTCGAGAGGAGGAAGGATTATCAAGTTTCCACTTGGTTTAAAGCGGCCTCTTCTTGATATCAGATATTTATACTGCCACTTTTTTGCATGGATAGCATATAAGGTTCAACTAACTTCACGCTCCACTTGGTGGAGAAATGTCAGAAAATCTCAACGACAAGATGGTCAAGTTCCTTTCCCCCCCTTCGAAGAACACCAACGGCTCCAGCTCAGACACTTTGGTGGGTGAGCATCTAGGTGTCGATGTCCGTCGTCGCCACCACACCATGGATCGAGAACTGCTGAAGGCAGAGCACCGTTTCTTTCGCCGCAGCGTCATCAACGACTCTAATGCTACAGCGCTTGAGCTGCCCAGCAAGAATGCAATCCTAACCCACTCCACTGACTCCCATGCCCCTGTCTGTGAACCTCCTGCCCTAGAAACCAAAGCCGCTTCAGTGATCACACAATCTGCACCAGAAAAAAAAGTGGCTGATGTTGTTGAGATGGTTATTGAGTCAACACCAGTGTTGATTACAAACGCTGCACTGCATCTTTCTGCAGAAGCACCTAGTTTGGTTTCAGAGGTAAAGTCTGGAGATGGCATTGATGGAAAACGAGAGGCTGAGAAAGAGGAGGATGAAGATAGTAAAGAAAAGGCGGCACGTGCTGAGGCTGAGTTGCGGGATGCTAAGAAGGAGGAGGAAGACAATGAGGAAATTGAGACTAATGCTGTTGGGACGTCACCGGATGGCCGCTTCTTGAAGTTTGACATCGAGATAGGACGTGGCTCTTTTAAGACGGTCTACAAGGGACTGGATACGGAAACTACAGTGGAGGTTGCATGGTGTGAGTTACAGGTACGTGTATTTGTAAAGTTATATTAATTTATTTTTCTTCGTTAGAATGCGTTATTGAAACTAACATTTTGAAATGTCGAAAATATGATAAATACCTGTGAGCTCCCTCATCCTCCATAAACAGCAACGGTCGCGATCTCAAATGCCAAGAAAACCAAAAATATTGTCCAACAAAAAAAATTGTCACTTCAGTGGTTTAGTTGTTATTCTGTTATTCAGTGGTTTAGAACAAACAGATCAACCACTTTTGATGCTAATAAACAATCATAAAGTCCTCATGCTGCAGGAATTAGGAGTTTTGCTGAAGGTGCAGTTGTTGTGCAGTGTGGGGTTTGCGTCTTTAATAAACTACGATAGTTTGCGTTCACTGAACAGTAAGAATGATTAATACATCCGTATCAATCAGTCCCTTAAAACTCACGTCTCCAAGTGAACCGCGCTCTGGCACACCTCTTCCAACCGGGCTAAGGCCGGTCAAGTGAACCGTGCCTGAGTCCGATTCAGAGCACTCACACTTCTCAAACAATTCGCGAAACGAGCCTGGGCACGGTTCGGATAGCATAGTGTGAGTAGGCTCTTACATATCAGATCATTAAGGCACTTGTAGTTTTGACTGGCTCTTTTCTGGACTTCGAATGTCTTGGGATCATTGCTGGCTATGCTGAATAAGAGCTGTCTGGTTTAAAATATCTTAATGTTTTTTCTGAAATTGAACAAAAGTCTCAAGAGATTGGAATAACACGATAGTGAGTTATTAATAACATATATAGTTTAAATTCTGTCTATAAAGATTTATAGGTTGTCATCAAAAATTAGTTACCGCATGCATAAAATGAATGCATTTTTACATTTATGGATCCTGATTGTTGCAATCTGTGGGCAGCACGTCACAGTTTTTGACAGCTAGGATAACAAAGTGCAACACTTGACGTTGTTAACACTCTTGATCTATCCGCTGACGGTGGTAAATCACTATCTGATCTGTTCATCTGGTTCTACAGCAAATACGGTCTCATTCTCATGAACTTACAACCCTGTCTTAAGGTGTTTCCGGTACAGCACCTGGTTATTACAGTCTTATGACTAAGTTTGATTTAAATTTTCAGTGCCCCACCTGGGCCTTTTAAAATGGTGTGTCATCCGCTTGTATTGTTCAGTCTTAATTTAGTTGTGTAATCTTTTTTAGAAGAAGGAAGACACTTTTACTAGTCCTTTTGTCACACCTTTGGCATTTCTCACCTATGAAACGTCTCAACACACACCCTTCACACTTAACCCATATGGCATTTGGCCAGTGTTTTTATAGCTGTTGTCATCTTTGGCTCTAGCCCTTGTATTGTAGTATCATCCCTGAATAGAACCCCCTCATTTCCTAATTAGGCTTTAGACCTCCGGGCAGGTATTTTAAGCTGTGTGATATACACACTAAAACATTGGTGGTGTTAATTTAAAGTTTATTTAAACTTTTAGATAGTCTGATAGCTGTCAAAGCTTGTTACTTTATCAAAGTAAAATATTCTTATAGCATATATTTTTTATTATTATTTATTTCTCTCCCTTTTATTTATTTGCTACTTATATCTTATTTTGATTTTAAATTAGTAAAAAAAAACAATATAAATATTCATATTCGGGATGCTCCGATTAATCGGCCAGAGATCGTATTTGCCGATAATCACATTTAGTTACTCGATCAGTACTCGCCAATCTGGTCAATCTCATCAAACGTTTAAGTGTGAGCGATTGCAGGTGAGATCTCCACTTAGGGAGATCATACTTAGGAAAAATGTGCTTTATGCATTATAAAGCTTAAAGCATCAGAATCGGTACTCTGCATCGGCCGATCATCATGACAAGGAATTGGTACTTTGTTTCGGGTGCAAAACCCTGATCGGAGCATCCCTGATTAGGCATGGGCCGGTATAAGATTCTGACAGTATGATAGCCTGGGATAAAAATATCACAATTTCATGGTATTGTGATCACTGCTCTAAAATATACTCTTTTTAAATGTCAGAACAAAAACTTTTTTCCTCCTTTAACACAATTTATTTTATTTTAAGAAACATATCAACTATTTTGGAGCAGTAAACATGTCAGGCTAAATCATTCAAATCAGTCATTGACTTCTGCAGTCTTCATTAGTTTCAAAAACACTTATTTCTTCACAATTTAAAACAACATCTTTGGATATTTTTTTCTTCTGGAGATACTGTTGTCCTAAAAAACAAAAGTAAAAAAGGTAAATAAAAAAATCTTACACATACCTTATGAATGGTATAGCAGGTCATTTTGGCGTTTTTCAAACCTTGACTTTTCCTCACCGCAGTCTGTCTATCTATCTATCTATCTATCTATCTATCTATCTATCTATCTATCTATCTATCTATCTATCTATCTATCTATCTATCTTTCCATCTATCTATCCATCCATCCATCCATCCATCCATATAACACGATTGTGAGTTATTAATAAGATATTTAGTTGAAACAATTTAACGCAAATTGATTGCTTCACAATGGCTATATATATATATATATATATATATATATATATATATATATATATATGTATGTATGTATGTATGTATGTATTTATGTATGCATGTATGTATGTATGTGTGTGTATGTATATATATGTATGTGTGTGTGTGTGTGTGTATATAATATATATATATATATATATATATATATATATATATATATATATATATATATATATATATATATATATAATTTATAATTACATTATTACATAATTACATTATAATTACATTTGTTTTGTATTGTATATCTATTTTTAAACTGTAGTTTATTTCTTGTGACAATTCAGTTATTACTTGTGACATTCTTAGTTAAAGTATATTGGTAACACTGAGTGTTTTGTTTGTTAGTTAGCTACATTTGTTAATGAGAAAAAAACTTTTCATGCACTCATTAATCATACTTGATGTGAACAATAACAATTACAACTTTATACTTTTAAAAATGTATGACAAAATTATTTATTAGAGCTGAGCTGTGTTTATTAACTAATGCTCAAAATATTTTTACCTTCTAATTTACAGTCTACAATAATTTAATTGTTCTCTAATTATAAATTTATTCCAAATTAATTGTAATGGGTGACAAACCGTGAGAAACATGAGCTTTTGTACTGCACACTAGAATAATTACACAGTGAATACATCCCTGCAATCTTTCGACTTTTATTAGTTTATGATATGATAAAAGCATGACTAATCTCCACGAGGTTTGCTTAGCAACAGCACCTCCATCGGAAAATCACCAGCTCACTTCTAACAAGCCTTCATGCATTCAGAGGCAACCTCGGTTTTGTTTTTATCATGAAGAAGCAGTTTTGAGAACATATCGAGAGGTGTGATTTGAAAAGTGGGTCAAGTTCAACCACCAAAGCAATGGTAATCTCCTGTGTGAAGTATTTCGAGCTGGTTTGCCACGGCTTGACTCTACAGCTTCTCTCCACCCCCTGCTGCCTATTTTTTTCGTTGCTTTTTTTTTCTTTCTTTTTTTTGTGCAAAGCGATGACGAAGCAGCACCACGTGAGCTGCAATTCTCTTGCTTTGGGCCCTCAGGCGTAGCCAGCTCATACATAGTTGAAACAAAGGCCTCTCTCTCTCTTTAGCTTTCAGTCTCCATTTATATCCTTTTTTCGCATTTCACTGTCCTTGTTTTTATCTCTCAGCTTGTCTTTTTGTGATATGCTGCTATGCGTTCCAAGCTGTGAGTTCACAGTGCTGCAGAAAAAAGGGAAGGGCCTGTATATCTTCCCCGAGAAGGCCATCTGTCCTCGGCGCCTTATGTTAAACTCAGGGATATTCCCCTCCCACATTTGTCTCCTTTCCTTTTTTCACATGCTAAACACATTTGAACAATATGTAGGTCACCACAAATAGAAAAGGAAAATAGCTCTCAGATGCTTCTTTTTTACTGAAGTTTCTGTATATGTCCAAGTGAATATACCACATTAAATGCTATGTCTAAACTAGCCAGAGAATTGAGTCATGGTTGCTATTGCGTACCACTGACTTTCCAGCAACTGTTAAGTTTTACCCCAGTTGTCCTGCATTTGGCTTTCGCCCTGCTTTTGATCCCTTTAACAGACCCGTGTAAATCCATTTAGCCTTCTGTTCTAACTTTGAACTATTAAAAGGTTTCTATGGCCCTTTGACAGCATTTATAATGGCTACTTTTTGTTTTAATGTGCTGAATATTTTGTTTAAAAATCTATTAAAGTAATACTATATATTATAGGGATGCTCTGATCAGCATTTTTGCAGCCAATACCAAGTAACGATTCCTTATCATGCTGATCAGCCGATACAGAGTACCAAGAGTACTAATGCTTCAAGCTTTAAAATGCATAAAGCACATTTTCCTCTAAATATACTTGAGTGGAAATGTCTCCTTACCTAAGAGAATAAATAAAGGATCTTGCATATAATCCTGATTTTAAACATTTTACTTATAACCATTTAGTGTGGACATGTCATATGTAGAAATTAATAGATAAAACTGATTAAAAAAATAGTATAAAAATGACTAATAATGCAATTTAAGAAACACTGTAAATGATGGAAGAATTCAACATGTCTCAATCACGAAAAGGTTTAGAGCCCATATTTGATGCATAAGAAGTTAAAATGCACACCTATAAATACATATTTGTTTATTGCGACAAGTACATTACAAAAAGGCATATTATTAAATATTCAAGTTAAAAAAGTTTTTTTTTTCCCATTAAAAATCGATTCATGAGATAAGCCAGATTTGCAAGTACTGTTTGAGTCAAAAAATGTAATCAGCAGATACCGATCTCCGGCCAATCGATCAGAGCATCTCTACATGTGATCTCATATCCTGTTTATAGATCACAATACAGTGCCATTTCAGTGATTTAACCAAATAATAGTTTATACATTTTATATATATACACACACACACACACATATATATATATATATATATATATATATATA